GTTGTTTACTCTCCTCCCCCATGTTAGAATGTGAAGTGGTGTCAGAAGCCAGTGGAACTTTTCATTTCCCTGATTTTAACCCGTCTTGGTCATGTTTTTCTCCTGCACCATTTGCACACTGGCTTCCTTTTTTTCCCTGTGCTGCCCCTGGGACCTACTCCCTCTGGCCGTGGTCCCTCGCTTTCTTCACAGCTTCTGCACCCCCCCGAAATGACTTTATCACCCTTCCCTGCCACATTTCCTCCTGCTATTTCTGGGCAATATCCATTTCCTATGTGATCTTTCGGACTGTCAATGATACTGCTTTTAATATCTGATTAAACTCCATTTTCAGCTTCATTTTCCAGTTGCTTAACTCATTTTTCTATTGTCTTCCTAACACGTCTATCTTGGCCTTTTTTTCTTCCAAATTCCTGCATTCTGTCTACCATTTAATGTAGCTTAGCATCATTTTCTTCTCCACGATTCTATTATGTGATGCTTTTGTGACTCCTCTTACTCTCTTTGAACCTACTGGGTTTTTAACCTTCTGTAATTAATAATTTCTGTCTTTACGCTTTATATTTCCCCTTTACTAGCACTTTTATTCCTGCATTTACAAACACTATATTGATTCTGGTGAGTGTTTCAGTTGGTCTCCTTATTATTCAGACATGAATTAATGATGTTTTCACTCTCTTTAGAAATAATTTTATTACCCTTTCGATCAACTTCTCCATAGATTGTAACTTCAGAGAAGTCAGAACTTCTATGTAATGCGTATCAGAATTCATCTGTCAAGTCTTCTACCAAGCCTACTGCTCTGTGGTTGGGTTAAGATGTCTTTCGGAATATGCTCCCCTATCCGTCTGAAAATCTTCAAGAGATGAAGCAGCCATTATAACACTTTGGTGAGTAGTCTCAGTTAATTAATTACTCTTACTAAAAATGTGTGTCTCTGGGTTTTGATATGTTGTCTGACTTCAGCTTTCAGCTACCACATTTTGTCGGCTTTAGCTTCTCATGCAGGCTGAGAGCACACCATAATTCTGGTACTAAAGAGTGTGTCTTTTCTGATGTTTTTCCCTCATTATTTCGACCCCCCTTTTTGAAGTATACCAAGTATAAGCAGTATTTAATAACTTTTTCATGAATGACAGACAAGTAAGTAATGCACCCTTCTGTGTTCCCAGGTGAATGTTAGCCTGTCTGTGTTCAGCTGGTCACTGACCATTGACTAGGCCCTGTAAGTTATTTTTAGGATGTTTTCCCCTACAGACCTGTATAGGTGATTTGCAAATGCTATATTAGTGGTAATTTTCTATTTTATTGTCAATTATTTTCTCACAAATATGTAACTGGCCATTTAGAATCCCGGTAGAAGTCCATTTATAACAATTTTCCATTAACAAGGATTCTTGGAAGTTACAGTTCCGCAGTACATGTCAGTGATGCAGTATGTTGGCTTTTGGTGGCTCTCTAAGCCAAGTACCTTTACATGGTAAGACAGGCATTGTACACACAAGCTACGTCAGGCCAGCAGTTCCCTTTGCAGCCTCTTCAAAAAGCTAGATCAAATCTGACAAGATACTAAACACCATGTTAGTTAGCTTCAATTAAACGATTATCCTGTAGTTCTGAACTGACTGAATTTAATACTAGCTTTTCTATTATTTTGCTCAAAAATTGTGTCAAGGTTACCAGAAGTATAATTATTCTTACTGCTCTTCCCTTACATTACCTCCCAGTTTCCCCCTTGAGTCTTCCTGCCATTTTTACGGGGAATTTTTTCCCAGTATTCAGTTTTTTAAACAAAAGCAAGCAGTACCTGCACAAACTTGTATCTTCTTCCATATCCTCGTTTGCACCTGTTTCTTTATTTTTCTCTGGGTCCCTCATTTTACATGTTCTCTAAGAAGTCACAATTTCTTCCACAGCATTCTATTCCCTTTCTTTTACTTCAAGTCAGTTTTCTGGTTTATATTTCTTTGCCTTCAAGAATGCTTTTTCATCCTCGTCTTTGAAAACCCCACCTTTAACTGGCTTCCTCAGTCTCTTACAACTTTTATTCTCTTCCAGGGCTCACCTCACCTCTTGTTTAATTGTTACATATTTCCTCCTGGAAGTCCCACCTCCCATTTAACACCTTCAAAATTAAGCTTTTAAATTACTTTCGCCTTCCGCTGGCCTCGCTGTGCATAATGCCCAACAGCCAGCCTCCACCTCCTGGACCCAAACTGTTAAGACCCTCCTCTGTATTGGTTTTTGGCTATAGTCTCACAAATCTTGTCTTTCACATTTAATTATTTTCCCTTTTGGCTTTCTTGGAGACCAGGATGTTGTCTGGAATCTTACCACAGTACAAAAGCGCTACATCACAAGCAAAACTGTCTTTTCCCATTTCTGCTTTGTTGCTTCTTTCATACGGCTCACTCTCTGGAATGTCTTCTGTGCTCATCAGTCTCCTTAAAACATGTGAATGCCAGTAAGTTTGAGCATATTTCCCACCCGATCTCTACATCTGTCTCCACTCCTGCTGTTTACTCTTTTGGGAAAAATCTTAGGGTAGGGAACTCTTCACAGGGACTTAATTAGAAAACAAACTATATTTACGATACTATAATTTCATTAGGTATGATACGAACGTATCATTATCATCATACTGTTATTAAATGATATGTAATTCCTAACTCTGCTCCATTCAGCTGAAGGGCTGAGGATAACAAGTAGTTTTAACATTCTTTGGTTTTATTAAACTCTTGGGAGCGTCTATGAGAAATTTTAGTACTCAAGGATAAAGTGTTTTGCCTCTCCAAGAGGATGATTGCCCCCTTCATGCTATGGCTGGCTGACAGTGCAAGTAAAATGAAATTCCTTTTTGAATTTTCCCAATTTCAAAATAACTGTGTGCAGAAATTGAACTTTCAGGTCAGCAATACAATACTTATGTCAGCTAAGTGCTAGCCTGTACAGTGAAGATGGTAAGAGTGCAGGAATGCTGGTGAAGCAAGAAGAAATGTCCTGGTTTTGACTGTAAGGACAGTCAGTCAGGGGCTGTTTGTGGGTGTGAAAGCTGTCTGTCCATTTCTTACGCTAGGCTGGCCTACAAGCAGGATGAAAAGGTAGGTACTTCACGTCTTTAACTTAAGAAAGCTTGTGCATGTTATCAGACTTACAGCTGTGCAGGCACAAGGGAACAAGAAGAACACTAAAGAAGACAAGTCATCTTCAGTTCGCTACCCTTTTCTTAAAGAGGAAACATGGAGGGGCTGGGGCTGTTCCTCCTTACGCAGTCTTGGACCTCCCAGCAGCAGCTGCAGAGTTTTCTGGAGGTTTGGGCAGTCCCACAGCTGGAAGTCAGTGCTGCAACACTGGAAAAGCAAGTAAGTCATTTTTTTTTAACTGATGATTGGCAGTGTGTCCAGTTGAATTGAATACTCCTGCTAGTGGAGGGAGACAAGAGAATTCAGACTAGCAAAACCTAATAGTAGTGGGCACTTGTGATGCTCAGATGGAAGGGGTTTTTCAGTTGGGAGGCAAAACTGGCGAGGCATGCTTCCCAGAGAAGTACTAGGGCTGTAGGATACACTGTTTGAAGAAACTCATAATTAGATATAATGGCCTACTCTCAGATAGTAAATTGTCACAAAATCTCTTAGATCATGTACCCACAAAACTGCTTAGCCTGATCTCCGTCTTAAACCTAGATTTCCTATTTTTATTTAAAGGTTGCCCCTTCAACAACCAATACTCTAAATCATTTTTGTATTCAAAATGTTAGGCTCTTTGTCCTTGAATATTTATCAAAGAAGGTAACTAGATTTTGAGCACTCAGAAAATCATGACACTTCTCAAGGGGCTGCTCTCTGCCCTTATCTGGACACCTAAAACGCAGACAATGCAGCACTTGGTAACCAGTCTGCACACCTGTCCTGTCACTGAGGTGTTTGTTCTTGTTACTACAACAAGTCTCACCAACGTTCAAAGGGGATAACTGACTGCAAACCTCCCAGGGAAAACCTCGCCTGTAGAAAAGAGCAGCACACCTTTATCTTCTGCCTGATGCGAGTTGTGTGTGGTAAGGTTGCCATATGTTGGTATCCTGTAAAAATAAAATAATAGGACTTAACTTCTATACAGACTCATTTAGTTTAGCAGTACTGGTTAATGGAGAAAATAAACTGCATGTAAAATCATGTATTTTATTGAGCCAACCATGTTTTCCAAAGGCAGCTTGCCTTTTTTTGGTCGGTTTGTTGCTAATTGCATACTTAATTCATACACTTTTTATAAGGCATTTGCGAATTAAGTTATCCCTGCTAACCTCAATGTGGTTTAATTAAGAGTAACAATTCTTTACTTTCAGTATCCCAACTATGCTCCTGTCAAATTTCTCTAACAACCAGTTGCTCGCTGTAGTTTGAGCTACAGAATTGCAGAGGGCCATAAATCATTTAAGTGGAAGGTTTACACAGTTGCAGAAGGAAAGCATTATTACTGTTTGTTTGTTCCAAAATAAACTTCACACTGAGGTCAAGTAAGGGAGTACAGTGCATGCAGACTTAACAGTGCATACCAACCAGAATTACATGACATTGTTAATTATCTTTCCCTAAAACCGTTGACAGTTAGAAACAAATTCAGTCTGCAGTTAAAGCACTCTTATGAAGGATTTGAAGAGGCTGTGAACTATACCCCCCACATTTCTTGAAAGATCTGATGCATCAGCAGCTTTGTAATCCCTGTCAGTTCACCTCTGATGGGAAGCCCACCTCCTAGAGGGAGTTCATTTTGCCACTCAATACACTGAATATTAAAGAACTGCACATGCTTCCTATTGATTCATGTAGCTTACCTACCTACTATGGTAGTACTTGACTGCAGCTGAAACATTATTACTCTCTGAAGTTGCAGGCAAGCAGAACAGAGATCAGTTTCCCCAAGTAAAGCTGTTTATATACATAGTCTGACTTATTCACCACCTCATTCACTAGAATTCCATAAATAATGCTTAAATTATATACAGTATCATAGAAGTGGGTCTTTATTCTTCCCCCAAATAAATTACTTTTTTTAAAAAACCAAATGTTAACAATGTATAAAAAGTAATGCCCTAACAAAACTACAGTGCTGTTATCATTCCATGGTGTCTTTGGATTGCTGCAGTAAAATACGTATTTCTTCAAAATACTGCTTCTTCCAACATTGTCTTGTACTATCTTCATTAGAGACAGGAACTCCTTTGCACTCTAACTGCAGTTCCGTTTGAGCAGCCATATCCTTGAAATTCAAGGCAACCGTTGCATAATGTTCTGAAGGAAGAAAGTACAACATTTCAGCAAAGTGTTTTTTAAAGGATTGCAGTTGTTGTTGCTAATTTCGTATCTGCTTTTGCTTGTGTCTAAACGAAGCCTCTTTTCACAGATGACAACTGCTACGGCCATCAGGCTGTTCTCCAAAGAACACAAGGCTAAGCGAGCCTCCAGTTAGCAAGGCTGTCAGCTGTCATGTTTGTTCCTTCTCCCTGCAAAGTGTAGCCTCTATTAGAGCTCTTCAAAATGACTCACCATCAGGCCAGCTTTGACACCTCCACTTCAGGACAATTCTTTGGCTTGGGACCTGTAAGAAGATAAGAAGGTTCTCCCCATTAGCATTTGAGATAATTCACATTACAACTACTCAGTGCTAATTCTCCCCTGAAAAATAAGGAAGGGAGCATAATCTTTTGCAATAGTAGACACATGCATGTAAACAATATGGAGATTGGGGTTTGGGTTTTCTTAAATAAACTGTTTTCATCAAAAGTTCAGCTTGCTCCTTTCCACTGTTTTGTTTTCTCTATGGGAAAAGGTCAGGCTGATCAGTTACTAAACATAAAACACTAGTTTGCTTGCAGACCTTGAAATGGGCACCAGTAAGTCATGTTTTCATTTCTGAAATCTGTAAGCATGACAGAGTATGCCCATGGTTTTCTGTTAATCAATCCAGCCTGCTTCACTGTACAAGTTTATGCAGGACTGCATAAAAACGATTTACAGCCTGCCCCCAGCTCACACAAGAAGGGGAGCTACTGCATAAACATTAGGTCAGCTGAAGTTTGGTCTAAATCAGGCTCATTGTTTTCACTAAGCCATTAAGTTTATATTTTGACTGTTTCATCTAAATTGTTCCTTATCTAATTGCAAAGGTTGATTAATATAACTGGCTTCCACTGAAGCCAATCTCAGGTGTAACAGTTCTGCAGAAAGTATATTTCCAGACTGAGCCCTTTCTGGAGTCAACAACAAATTTCATTAGGTTGAACTGAGAATCCAATTTTCCAAGACTTTTTGCTTTTTTAAAAATTGTCCAATTGTCAGTGATACTTACTGCCTGTCATCTGGATGGAGGTCAGATACCAAGTCTAAGCTCAGCAACTGTGAAAATGGTTTTTCAGAGGTTTCAAAAACAGAGCTGAGCTTCAATTATCAGTTTTTTCCTTCTATTTGCAAAAGCATTCAGTGTGGGAAAGCATAATATTTGCCCTGAATAGAACAGAGATCATTTATCCAGTGACAAAAGAAGAATTGATATGGAATTGGGAGATAAGCCTTAAAACTGCTTTCCCACTCCTTCCTCCTAGTAAAAAAGGATGGTGCTGAGAGTTTTCTCCCCCAGTGCAGGTCATTAGGTGTAGTTAGTGCCTGCTCCTTTGATGGGGAAATATACATAATAGGTTTGGGGCTTCAAAATTATAGAGGAAATGAGTATGCATTAGAGAAGCTGAAATGTCAAAAACTTACACTACTTTTTAGCTCAGAGAAGCAGCCAATGCCCCACCCCCTCCATTTTTAAAGTGCAAAGTAGGAGCTTTTTACCAATTCTGTGTATTCACCGCTGACACAGCCATCGAACATCTGAAGTTTGCCTCCTTTCTCGGCTTCAATCACAGCAGAACATTTAGAAAACTTCTGTACCAACTAGCAAAAGAAGAATACAGCAGAAGTCAGTTAACTACAAATCTATACTGATACTTACTGCACCATATTATGACACAAGTGAGGTTTGCTGAAGAAATTAACTAACTCAACTGTAATACACATAAGAGGCTGTAAGCACTACTCAGGTTTGTCATTTTATACAGCAGCATGCCACTGAGATCTGTGGTAGTAGCAGGGGCCAATGAGGTGACAGAATGAGACTGTAAATGCTGAGAAAGCTGGAGTGGTAAAGACCAGAAAAGACCCGAGCCACCTGCAAGGGGCATGGACAAATCACATACGTACATATACATAGACGCAACCGGCTGTTGCTGGATTTGGAAATGAGGGAGACAGAACAGCAGCTCTAGGAAGGTGCAGAAGAGCTGCTGAGAGCCATTATTGTTTCTCAGGGGTAGTGTTGGGATTGTAATTTAAAGTTCTCTGATACCAGCCCAGGCTCTTTTGAAGGAAACAAACCCCAAGTTAGTGATTTTATATGCCATACCCTATAAGCAACAGTATCATTGCATCCAATAGTTAATCTAATTAAGCTGTGGACAACAACAGTGCCATTACTAAGCACTTCAGGCTCCTGAATGACGAGTACCTACATAAAAAGTCCAAGCTTTTTCTAACTAGCAAAGGAGAGTGCAGGAGGAACTGTCAACTCCTTTTGCATTTTCACCACAGAAATTCCTCAGTGGCTTAAAAGGTGAAGCTATTCAGCAAAACTTGGAAGAGCAAATGATGACAATCAGAATTACAAATACTTAGTGAAGTTACAAGAAAAGGATCACTCACAAAGCCTTCAGTTTCTGGACGATCACATCTCTCCATTTATATGTACTTGAGGAGTTATTATCTGTACTTAACACTATGAGACATGTTTATTACCTACTTGCACAACTATTCAGCTACAGCAGCATCCACATTAAGTTATATTGCCTACTGAAAGTATCACTTACTTCCTTAGTTGTGAAGATGCTGTAAAGTTCATCTGCTGGAGAGTTGAAGATTTCTCTCATCAGTATCTTCACTGTTGGAATTTTTACACCAACTATATCCAAAGACTGTGGTGAAACAGAATCCTGCAAAACAAAAAATACTCAGGTGAATGAGTGCAAGATCAAACACTTAAAAGTTCTGGAATGGCAGGATTGTTGTTACCTGTGCATTCTTAAACATACTGTATTGTGAATATATGTTATATAAATATGGAAGTAGGTTGTATAGTTAACAGTATTATTAATCAGGATTCACTAAAACAAGTGGAAAAACCATGAGTGTGTGATTCGCCCCAAAGATACCTGAGGCTAACTTTAGACTGTGGGAAGTGATGCACGCAGGTGAATTCCAGCTTCACCTTGCTGAAGCTACAGCCGTTACAGAACAAAGCATTAAGGGGTACATAAATGCTGCTGTCCTCCTTCCGCACCCAGCAGCCCCGTGCCCAGGATCTGCAATGGGTCGTTTCTGTATTACAGGCCCTGATCACAGCAGTGAGGAGGCAGTTCCACCCCGAAGGCAGGTAATTACTTTTGCAGGTAACCAGAGGAATATGCAATTGTTAGCATAGCAAAATCTGTAGGGACTACAGTTATGGTAAAATTAAACTCGTACAACACTTAAAGCCAACATACTTGCATGGTGTTCCCACTTAGTTTTCGTTCAGTGGCCAGCTCCTGACCAACAGTTGCTTTTGTTGGCAGAATCATTCCCAAGGTAAACTCTGTAATAAAGGAAAGCACTCTTCAGTTATGAAATTGAGCTGTACAACCACTCTGACATCGAGATATGTAATCAAGATTGCTGGCCAAAACCATGGAGAATGGGAGCACAGAATGGGGCGTACAACTCCAATCCAGTTTCCCCACCTTACCCAAATGTTTGTATTGGCAACAGAGCCTAACGGCAATTTCCCTTAAAAACACAGGATTTTCAAAGCTACCTGACCCAAAATTACTAACATCTGCCCATGAAGGAATGCACCATCTCCACAAACTTCTGAAGTGTACAGCAGAGAAGCCTGCAGGTCTTACAGTGATCTCTGCAGTCAGTATGTGTAACACAATACAGCCTACGTCGCTACAGAAACTTCTGGACAGTGCCATGTTTGATAGCAATAAAGATTTTTGACTGATAGGACTAACTTACTTCATCTCAGCTGGTGACAGTTAAAAATAAAAACAATACAAACCCAAGGACTTGTCAATATATTACCAATCTATTCAAGAAAGAAGACTGCATAAAAACATACCCAACGCACTGGTTTCATTTACCTGTTTTAAGTGCTTTCAGATAATCTCTCAGGGCCTCTCTGACTTTTGTTGTTCCTTCAGTTCTCATAAGGTCCTTCAGAACATCACCTTCCCCTTTCTTTTTGCTAACATTGATCTAGAAACAGAAAAATTAGAAGATCTTAGAGGCATCTAAACATGAGCCTTTTGGATTCTGGCAACAAAGGAAAGTATTCTGGCTTTGTTTACTACCTTCAGAGCACTGCTGCAATTTCAAGTTCATTATCTTCTCAGTTTATCCTACCTTTGCTAAAAATAAGTCCTCTTGGGTTTTGACTTAAATAAATTTAGTATCTCATCTCCAGAGTAGCACAGTCAAGTTCATCAAGTATAAACAGAGTTGCCTACTATGCAGCAGAGGCTGAGGAATCTGTGGAAGCCACAGCATCAAATGCTATACAACCAACAAGAAGATTCCTTAAGTTCTTAGGTCTTGGGGGGGGGTGTTTGTTAGTTGTTTTTGTTTGGTTTTTTTTTTTTTTTTTAAAGACTACAAGCAGCAGAGTTCTCAATTTTGTAGTTAATGTATCATCACAAACAATAATTAACAAAGAAAACTGCATATTCCTAGTAGGTAAATTTGAGAACAGAGATAAGTCATTATTCCAAGTATAAAAAAACAAAAACATGAAATAAACTATCCAAGTGTAATTATCCCACAATCACAGGATAAATCAAAACATGATGCCTATATGTTGATTAATGCTTTATTTAAGAATTCTGAACCTATATAGCCATATCAGTATTTCACACCTACCTCTGTATCATCTACCTCATTTTCTTCTGACAGGTTAGGAATTTCAACAGATCCCTTATGTTTCTCACCAGACTCTTTCACTGTACCTGTATTAACATAATGAATTCTTAAATGCATTATTAAAAACTATTTCCCCCATAGCAAGTTTTATGCTTGGAAATTAGCTGTACAAAAGTGTTACTTGGAGCAAGTTGCCTAGAATCTAATTTAAAGGAACTAAATAGCAACCAAAAGTCTCACATGTGTCACAGTACTTTCATAGTAAACTGTTCTCAGAACTGTGTTTTCCTGTACAGATGCATTAAGATATGTACACACACACAGGTACATCTTCTCACTCAGCACATCATTGCGCGCTACCGTTCTGCCACTGCTCTCACCTTCAATCCTCAGCTGTTCTAATACTCACTACTTACAACAGCTTGCATCTGCCAATACAGAATGTGAATCAAAAGGGGGTAGGGGAAAAACAACCTCTTCCCCTAAACTTGTCTGCCTGTTATTTAGAAGCTCCCTAGAATGCTAACCTGTCTTGAATATCTGAAAAGCTCCCAACATACAGGCATGTTACTGTAAAACATATGCGTGTATAATGGACAGGTATACAACTGAAATTTTTTATAAACAGGAAACTTCACATGCAGATTTTTTAGAAGACTCGTTCTTAACAGCTTTACTGCGAACTGCCAGTAATCACTGTACACATCAGAAAGCCTTTGCAAGAACAGAAATTGCTCTGCTTCTCCATCCTTCTGGGCAAAGGCCCACCATCACTTACCCACATAGCTCTATAAACATATTCTGGGATATGAACCCTGTACTGTAATTCTTTGCCTCAGACCTTACAGTGAAAAGATTAAATTTAAGGTCTGATCCTTTTTTTTTGCCATTACACTGAAGACTCTTCCCCCGGCCTTGCAAAAACATTTAGTTATTTAAATTAATTCACTATTTAGATCATGTTAAAATCTTTTTAGAAAACAATAGCAGAAACATGCCATTCTACCCCAAATCCAGTTATCCTCATACTGTTTTATTGGCTTACTTGTCAAAACATACAAAACACAACAACAAGCTTTATCAGTCTATCACAGCAAAACTCCAAAATACAAACAACCCAGAGTTAAGCATGACTGCAGAAGAGGAATTTTCATGAAGGTAGACGTAATATATTTGGATTCTCTCACCTTCAAAAGAGCTAGCTAGATCCAGCCTCTACTTAACACCACTCTCCTTTCATTATTTTTAATTACTACGCTGAAACAACCACCATGCTATAGTGGGGCATTATGCACAGATATAACCTAATGTGCTACCTCTCAAGATCACAGTAAAGTAAACAAATGCTCTGGCATTTCTTAGCAAGAAGAGTGAATGACGGTTAGTAACACAAAGGGGAGTACGGTGCAAAGATCCCTTCCTAGTCAGCACCTGAGTCAAGCACAGCACAATACACAAAGACTGTTAATCCAGAAGTAGACAACTGCATCCATGCAGGGAAAGGCTAAACTAGAAGACCTCTCTTGGGCTTCTCAAAGTCTCCCAGGAGAACCTGTTAGCTCAAGTATGAAGCCATGTGAACTAGTTAATTATAACATTAAAACACTTCTGGGCCCAACACAAATCACAAGCAGCCATGTCAATTTGCTCTCTACTGCTTTCTTCTAGCTCCAGGATTAGTACAGGCACAACCACACAACATTGTCTTTGCAGACAGTAAAGCAAATCTTATTTTCAGCTACTCTCCCCAAAAAGGAAGTGCTAGCATGCAGGCAGACGTTTTTAGGAGCAGAACACAAGCCTGACTTATAACCATTCAGCTAATTTTATTACCAATTTTCACAACTCTTAAAATAAAGATTCCCAAATAACACAGGCCAGACAACAAACTTAAATTCATACAAAGAAAAAAATGGCTTGTCCAAGGGATTAATGCAGATGCTATCTGTGCTGGACAGCACAGTCTCATCAGTTAACAAACAGAGCTGGGTGTTCAACACTACACAGGCAAAACATTGGTACAGCTTTGCATTTTTACTATTGCTGTAATGTAAGCAAAGCTGTTACCTTTTTATCAGACAATCAAATTATTTGTTTGAATCCCATGGGACTCCAATAACAGACCTAAGAATAAGCTATTTTTTTGTTTCCTGCCAATCCAATATTTTAGAAAATTAATAGTGAAAGCTCATGTCTCAGAAAGACCTACCTGTAAACCCACTGTTGAAATACCTAAGTTTTAAAAGGACATACACATTTTCATAAAGCTTCCATCACAACGTAGAATAATTCATTACAATCCCCATTACATCTTCAAACAAATGATAGAACAGCCATTTTGCTCAATTTCAGTGGCATTAAGTACCCTTAGTTCCTCACTTCCTTGTTGCTCTGTAATCTAAATTGCTAAGGGCAAGGTTTTTCCAACATTGGACTTTCCAAACCACCTGCAGATTTCAGGATTTATATCATCTTGTCCTTATATATCCACATTTTAATCATAGCTTGAACTCCTAGTTTTTCTAGATGACTTTTAGAAGGAACTAATTACAGCAATTAGTGTTTTTAGCAGTTAAGTTTGAACTCTCATTTCTAATTCAGAGCTCTCAGAAAACAACACAATGGCTATCAAATCACGAAAAAAAATAATCAGCCCCAGCTCTTTTAGAATTTCACTGTGTAGTAGCAAACTCCTTTAAAACTAAGCTCTGAAAGACATTATCCACTCAGTGCAACACTGAACTGAGCAACTAACCTAATGCAACATTAGAGCTGTCTATAAACACTAAAGAGCATAAAGACCTAGCAGAGGAAACAAAATTTAGAAAGGATTCATATAGAAAATACAAACAAAATACTGCATCTGCCTACTTCTAAGTTTTATACGCTGAAATAAAACAAACAAACAAAAAAAACAAAAACAAACTAACCAGTGTTTAAAAAACTTAGATTATTTTAGCTTATCTTAAATAAAAACCACCCAAAACATCAAAAAGCTGATTAGAATTATTTAAACTGCACTGATATAAACTGTGTCACAGAGCATGTTTGCCTTCCTCTCTGTTAACATTTAGATCACAACTGTAAGTATGTATGTTCTTAGTTTATAACACACTTGTAACATTTGAAACATATTTAACTATCAGTGCGAACAAAAATAAATGAGAAACAGTATTTCTTTAAGTCCCCTATTACTGTGGGAGCAGACATCAATTCCAGATCTGTTCCAAGAGAAGCACTGGTCTCAGCATCAAAACAAAGTTCTAGTCAGCCAAACCAGGAAAAACACAGTTGCAAGAACTGCTTTGGAAAGGGCACCATGAAAAGAAGTGCAAAACACAGACAGCCCGCTGGAGCAGCCAACAGCGTTACCTGAAACACTGATCCAGAGACTACAGTCCTGTTTGGAGCACAGGAATTAAAAGGGAAAAATTAAGTATGGCCTTTGGTATTCCCACCTCCTACAGTAACAACTGAGACCTGAGAAGTACAGTATTTTGGGGAGGAAAAGCCTGTAATTTGGCATTACAATATCCAGGTAAAATGTCCCATGCAGGTGCTTTTTTCTCTTCCTGATTCTTAGTCTAATGCAAGGGATGGTCCACAATTTTCCATAAAGTTGTAGGCATCTAATAAATGGAAAGAATTCCTTGATATTACCAAAAGATATGTTATTGGGTCAGTCTGCAAATAAAGAGCTTGCCATGGGACAAGCACAGCGGAGGTTGAACCTCCAAAAGTTGGGGCTGCAAGCGGATGCAGCACAACAAAAATGCATGAGCACAGCCCCTGTTATCCCCAATAATCAAGAATTATTTCTAGTCTCCTTATTCCCACTACACAGTTTCTTCCTCATGTAATTCATTATCCCCAATGTAAACTACACTAAATTTTTGGAAACATCTGCCCTTTTACACTTTTTAGGTTCTCCTGTTTCCTGCTATCAACAAGGACACAGCTGTAATTTGCGGCACACCAGAAAACTAAAACAATTCAAGCACACTGCTGTAAGCAATACATATCCCACCACACGAGACGTAGTTACTTTTTGCAAAGCAAGATGAGTAACCCTGTGCTGATATGTTGTTAAACAACGCTAAGAAACGTGTGTTGTAGAAAAAAAAAAAATGGGTGAAGGGGGGAAAAAAGACCAGCTACGGTTTCAGGATTATTTAAAGATAAGCATTTATTTAAGTTCAGGCCCAAGTGTCTCCTGCAATCTCCCTACGATTTTGATTCACTGCAGTTCACTAAAATAGTCCTGATTTTCCAACCCAAAGCAGAGAGTTCACTTTCCAAAGCGATCGCTCCTGATCCCGCAGAGCACATCGTCGGAGCCAGCTTTGCAACGACCACGATGAACTCGAAGGCAACCCTCATCAATCCACACCTTCCCATGAAAGCTGGGGCCACGGGAGGAAACGTGCTAGGCCCCCAGTCACCGCGCTCCTTTCGCCCGGGAAAGACTCAGCAAGCGGGGGGGATCTCCCCCACCGCGGGCTGGGTGGCTCCTCACTGCCGGCGGCGGCCTGAAGCTGAGGAAGCGCCGCTAGCCCCCGACCACCGCCTCCGCGGAGCACGGGCA